AGTATTATTTTATAATAAGTAGTTTTTAAAATATCTATTTCACGGGTTTTTTGACTTTATTCTTTATCTACKGCAGTTAGATAAAATAATTCAGTTATTCGCGTACTCTTTTCTGTTTGTTTTATGAACTAATCATTCATTACTTAACTGGGTATTAATCGTCACTTTGAAACAGCTCGTGTTGCACAATGATATCACTCGTACCCCCTGTAGGGATACAAATTTTCATCATCAAAGCACAAAGATAAATTACTTGATAAAAGAAATTTTGTTATGTGTTTATATTAAGCTTTTAAAAACCGGTGTTACTACTAGCTTCCCTACCAACACGCACATGCTTTTTCCGATAATAYATGACGTCACAATGCAACTAGCCAATCATATGTAGCTTTTGTTTTGGTCTTTTCAAAAGGTACTTATAAACAACACAACAAGTCTAGCTTGAGTAATTTMCTCRACGATTTTAGGGATAACAGACACAYTGACTGATCGACATTATTGGCGATTAAGAGGGTTACTGCAGGAAGAAGAACAAAAGGTAATTTGATACTAATGCAAGGGATTTTCACTGATAAATTCGTAAGTAGCTTATTCGTTAGATTGAGTTCAAAGAAAAAATAATAAAAATAAAYAAATAAATAAAAAAAGATAAAATAAATAAATAAATAAATGAATACAAATCCGCTGATCGTTTGTTTGAGTGCAAGCATTAGAATGAAGTCACAAAAGAAAACAACGCAATTAGAGAGTAMTAATTAATAATTAGACCTCGRGGTCGAGTRGACTACGAGCTAATAGYCCATGARGCCGAGTCTGCGAGRCCGAATGGGCTATTAGCTCGTAGTCCACGAGGCCGAGAGGTCTAATTGTTTTAGTATAAACATACTAATCGGTCAGACAATGAAAACAAATTGAAATATCCTTAAAATAATTTATAATTTATAATTTATTTATTTTGATTTTCCCGCGAGTGGTCTATCACAAATYAGACCATTAGTAGAGTAGCCAATCACAGCGCAGTATGAGTGATAGACCATTAGTACGTTTATGCTAAGCTGTATTAGTGTAAATCTATTTCACGGGTTTAATGACTTGACTCTACTCTAAAGAGTTCTTTTGTTACAGTAGTTTTGTAAACAACAGTCAATGACAACAACAAAAGAACTAATAATGACTATAACAATGAGAGCAAAGAT